TGCCAGGGACACGACATCCCTGCCCCATGGGATTGCCTCTCAGGACGTTATCTTCTGGCATCCGATGGCTTTATTCAGCTGGGTTTGTCGTCTCGTTGAGATCCTGAGCTCAGGGTTGGAACTTGCTTGAGATGCTGAGGGCCCATCTTCGCGGTCTCTTTTGTCTCTGCCCATGGGTTGGACCTGGATGATCTTCAGGCCCTTTCCAACCTGACTTCTGTGATTCTGGGTAACCAGAGCTGCTGTGTGCTGGCGAATGGAGGAGGCTGCTGTGTAAGCTCTGTGCCGTGGCTTTGCAGGAAGGGGTGGCCTAAATTAACCACAGCTGGCTTTCATTTCCACCCTCCAGCTTTCTGCCCTGCCCTGTTGCTGCCCCTCCACCTTCCTCTTCCTCCTCCTCTCACCCTTTTCCTTAGGCTGGAGAAGAGCGTGGCTGGGATTTAATCCCGCTTCGAAGGTCTGGCACCATGGAATCAGGGTTATCACGGGATGGTTTGTGCTGGAAGGGACCCGAAAGCTCCTCCAGCCCCAGCCCCAGCCCCGGGCAGGGGAACCTTCCACTGGAGCAGGTGCAGGGAGCACGAGTTCCTCCTCAGCCCGCACTGGGGGCCCTCTGAGCCTGATTCACCTTCCAGATGGTGCCTGGGGATGCTGCTCCCACTGCTCCCGGCCCCTGCTCCAGCAGCCCAGGGAACCAGACTCCCTGGAGCCACCACAAAGTCCCTCTGGCTCTTGCCCCCAGCCCTGCAAGCCCTCGCAGCCGCTTGCTGTGGGTGGCTTGTTTGGATGAGCCTTTGAATCCCGACTGCCGCCCGCCCCGTCCGGGTGCTGTGATCCCCTGGCAGCTCCCTTTGCCCCTGTCCTTGGCCGGGATGTCCCCTGTGCTCTGCTTGTGCTGGCTCCTGCCGGGGGGGGGCTCGGGGGAGCAGGGAGCTGTCTGAAAGGCTCCCTGTTCGTACCCTCCTCCTTATTCAGGTGAGGGGATCGGTCAGGAAATCCCATTAGCACCCGACAGGCAGCGCTGTGACAAGGCTGCTGCCTCTCCTGTGGGCCAGACTAAAGCTGGTCCCAGATGGATGCTGCAGCGTCACATCCCGCCCTCCCCGCCACATCCCTCTTCCCCAGCACTGGCTGCACCCTTCCACCCCCGGGCAGGGATGCACCAGCACAGCGGCATTCCCAGTGCTGGGAGGAGAGCTCAGCACTTCCCTAAGGAGCTCTTTGTGCCTAGGCTGGGGTCTGGCCGTGTCCTGCTCCAGCTGAGGAGCCTGGGCACTGCACGGTGTTCCCTTATTGCAGGCGGCTGCAGTAAATAGGAAAAGGGAAGCGACTTGCCCAAGGTACCGGGAGCAGCACCGGGAGCATCCGCAGGGGTGAGGAGGTGATGGGAGGTGACTGGTCCAGCCCAAGGCCAGGCTGGACACAGGGGATGGAGCACCCTGCTCCAGTGGAAGGTGCCCCTGCAATGGGGGCAGCTTTGAGCTGCCTTCATCCCAGCCCGTTCCATGGCTCCGCACTCCGGAGCAGCAGTTTGATGGCTGTGACCCAAGGAGCCCCCGGGCCCGGCGCCGCGGGCGGCCGGGTTCCCATGGCGCAGCGTGGCCGGTGCCGGCTGCCTCCGGGCTCGCAGGGGCTGTAGCATCCATCCAACACCGAATGCTTGTGTCCACCCACGGGCCCGGGCCAGCGGAGGCAAAGAATTCCCTGGCTGAGGGCTTTGAAGTGGCCACATAAAGATGAAAGGGGGAGAGCTGGAGCCTGGTGTGGTGTGAGCGCTGGAACGCTGCTTCCAGCTGGCAAACGATACCCGCCTGGATGCAGTGGAATGGGGGGAGAAGCTGGGGTTTGGGGCAGGCTGGGGTGAGCCTCAGCGGGTGCTGGCAGCAGCCCCGGGCTTTGTTTGGTGCAGGGCTGCTATAAACACAAGCGCTGCCCGGCTGCGGCCGGCGTGGTCCATAGAGAATCAGGAGAACACCGTGTCCTGCAGCGGGATTAGTTCAGGACAGGTGGATCGGGGCTGCTGGCTCCATCTCAAAGGCGAGTTGGAGATGGGATTTGATGGGACGGGGACGGAGCATATGGTATCCACGGCTGGAAAAGTACTGAGCGGCGCGCAGCAGGACCCCGCTGCTGCGGCACCAGTGCCCATCAGTTTGGGGTGCGTCCCCCCAGCCATAGAGGCAGCGATGGGAGAAAGCCTCAGGGGATCAATCCCTGTGGAATGTCGCTGGTGAAGCACAGGAGACCCAATGGCGATGCACCATGAGTGCTGCTGTTAGGCACTGGGGTCTGCTGGGGGAGAAGAGCATCCCCAAGGAGCCTGCAGCACCCTGGGGACCCTGTGTCTCCCACTGGCATGTGGGTGGTGGGGAGGGCAGCACCCAAAACGTGTGCTCAGCTTTGGATACGGGGCGGGCTTGGGGGCAATCCCTGGGGAAGGGGCTCCCGCTGCCACCCCGGGAGCTTCATCTCAGTGCACCTGGAATTCGGTGCCAGAATTGGCAGCACCGGGTGGCCATGTATGACTGAAGGGAGCCCAGCTGAGACCAGGATGGGGCTGAGGGACAGGAGGGCTGCTCCAGAGCTCCGGCACCCAGCTCGGCAGCCCTCCCGCCGGGATCTGTGCCCCCCATGGCGTTGGGAAGGGGTTTTATGGTGGTGATGGGAGTTACCAGGACACTCAGCATCTCCTGCTCGCGTGGGGCTGAGGGTGCTTTGGGGTGACCTGGCTGCAGGGGGGCGGCTGCAGTGGGGCGGGGGGGGCTCTTTCCCACGCCTGCCTGCTCAGGGCTCGTTAGTCACTGTGTAAATGAGCACTGAATCACCCAGCACCCACGGCGTGGGGAGACCCGGCCCTGCAGCAGCCCCTGCTGCGCTGCGGTGCGGATGGACCCAGGGGAAAGGGGGGGGGGTGCAGGAGCTTGGGGTCCCCAGCATCGCCCCTCAGCCCTGCCCAAAACAAGCATCGTTTTGAGCAAGATGAGGGGAGTTGGTCTCCATGGAGACCGCATCTCCAAACTGGGGATGCTGGGGCTGATCCCGGGTGCCCCCCGAGCCTTGGTTGTGAGATGGGGGCCACGCTGGCTCATGCTGGGGAGCACTCCCCTATCCCTCCCTGCCAGTGCTGGGCCAGGCCTCCCCATCACCCTCCTCCTGTGGGGCACAGCACCACGGCTCTGCATTGGCACCCGCCAGCAGCCCGGTGCCATCTGCCTGCGCTGACCCCCTGGCTCCGGCTCCAGCGTTAATTGGTGCTGTTAATTAGCACATGATTAAACCCCCTCCCCCTGCCGCGTGCAGGGGACGGCGCTGCCAGGCCTGATGCTCCGGTGCCCCTGTGCCAGGAGCGGGGACCTGTTGCGGGGCTGCTCCCATCCCGAGGCACCGGTGATGGGCGATGGGGACCCCGGCTTTGGCAGGGGCTGGGGGCAGCCCGGTGCACGCAGCTCCAGATGGGAACGGGCAGGGAAGGGCAGCGCGTTCCTAAACCACACTGAGCTGTGATAACGGGAGGGGGAAGTTTCACACATGGCAGGGAGCTATTTTAGCACCAGCAGCGCCCGAGCGAGGGGCTGGCTCCGTCCACGCTGCACCTCTCGGAGGAGGAGCCCCCCCCAGCCCCGGCCCTGCTCCCCCCCACACCTCTCCCCTTTCCCCCCTCCAGGTTGTCTATTACACCGAGATGCACAAGATCTTTGGGGAGCTGACGGCGCAGATCGACCGGGGCGGCCTCAGCGACGAGCAGCGCGAGCGCGACAACGATGCCAAGCTCAGCGAGCTCAGGGCTCTCTCCATCGTGGCCGACGACTGAGCGGGGGCGAGGCCTCCCCCCTGCTCCCCACAGGGATGGACTCGGGGGGGGTTAACCCCTTTATCCCCCCCCATGGCACCTGGGGAAGGGGGGGGGCACAGCGGGGCTGCCCCTGCCCTCCCCACCCCGCTGGTAGCATCCAGCCCTGCGGGGATTTGTGCCTCCTGTGGGGGTTCAGCGGGGAGCTGGGGGCTGCCGGCCTTGCCCAGGCACCCACCCGCTGCTGCCCCAGCACTGGGCCCTGTTGGCCTGGGCAGGAGCCGGCCCAGCCCCTTCCCGGTCAGGCAGGAGGATGGGGGCTCTCCTGCCCCCAGTTTGTGCCTTAGGGGAGGGGAAAGCTTTTAACCCCCACACTTTGAGGCACGGGGAGGGAGGGACGAAACCTCCACGGCTCCCTGCCAACCACCAGGTGATGCCGCACTCCAGAGGCTCTGGTTTAAGCAGGAATGGGACAAAGCGGCCCTGCCCCATAGCTATGGGGTGCAGGGGGTGCCCGCTGAGGGGTACCCCAGGAGCCAGGGGTGCAGAAGGGAAACGCAGCCCGGGCAGGCGCAGACCCAGGGAGGAGCACGGGGAGGGGGTCCCGGAGCCGCCCCTCGTTGCCGGGGGGCACAGGGGGTCTCCAATAAAGGTCTTGGCAGCGCAGCGGAGCGTGGTTGGGAGCCGGAGCCAGCGCCGCGCCGCTGCTGCCCTCTGCAGCCCCCCAACAGCCACTGCCGGGGGTCCCATGGGCTCCAGCGCTGGGGGTGCGGGGGGAGACGGGGAGGGAGGAGGCAGCGAGCAGCCCCTGGGGAGCAGGGAAGAACCCGAGGAACAGAGACTTACATCAAATACAGGGGAGTGGAGCCCCAGCCGGCACAGGGAGGACTGTTACGGAGATGATGATGCTCTATGGGCACAGCCACATCCAGAGCCTCCCCTTGAGCACCTGCGTGTACCCCTCCATCCTAACCCGGCCAGGCTGCCCCCAAGTGGAGCATCCCACTGGGAGGACTGGGTGCCCAGTGCCTGCCTCCAATACACACCAAATTCCCTGCTTCAGAGGTTTCTATTCAATGCAAACCAGCCAGAGCAAACCCTGCACATCCCTAGGGATGCCCGGCCTGGGATCCCATCTCCCCAGGAAGGTTGGGATGAAACAGGCTTGTGGGGATCGTGCTGCCATCCGCGTCCCTGCTGTGCGACATCTCCTGGTGGAGACCTTGTGGGTGCTGCTCCATTGGTCTAGAAGAGAGGAGAGGGGGTGACGGCAGCTCGTGGTACCCCACGTCCCGGCACATCTCATCCCGCCTTACCCCGTGCCTTGGTCTCCCTGATGAGTTGGGTGCTCCTTGGTGTCTTGCCCAGGCTCAGCACCGCGGTGCTGGGGGAGATGCAGAGCAGGACAGGAGGCAGCAGCATCCCTGGAAGCAGGACTCCTCACCCGCTGCACCATCTGACGGCACCGGCTGCACCGTGCCCATCATCCCTGCACCTACCCGGGAGCTCCTCTTTCCTTCGGTCCCCATGGACACAGGGCTCAGAGAGCATCCAGAGCATCCCAGGGCTTGGGTCCGGAGCCTCGGGCTGCTGCAACACAGACGTGGGTGAGGGACGGAGGAGTCCAAGTGCCCCAAAGCAGCGGCACCGAATGCTCCCAGGACAAGTGCGATTGCGCCAGGGACGCCAGGCTCCCCCTTGGCTCTGTCACCATCACCACCACCAGTACCTGAGACTGGCAAAGCAGACCCTGGGGCATGGCAGGAACAGTGCTCAGGGTGCCCCAGGAATCCCGGCAGGAAGCAGGGAGCTGAACCCCCATAAAGCCTCCCTGCTGCCAGGATTGGATGGGGGGGAATCAGAGCCCATCGGGGCACGGAAAGCCTGGTGAGTGCCCAGGCCACTTGCAGGGACACAGCGAGAGCATCCCGGGGCCGCATTCTGCATCCCATGCGGTCGCTGCTGGGATGGAGCCAAGAGCTCCCTTCCCCTCGGCTGTTCCTTCCCAACCACATCACATGCTGGGCCAGGTCTAAGCCAAATAAACCCGGTTGCCACGGTTACCCGGAGCAGGGATGCTTTATTTAACTGCCACGCAGGAGCCGAGCCCGTGCGAGGACCACGCTGTGCCACGGGGTGCTCTGCAGACCCCTGCGGAGCATCTGCTGGGTTAAACCCACCTGAGCCCTCTGGCGTCCCCCCTGCGTCCTCCCCAGCACCCTGCCTCCTCCATCTCCTGCAGCACCCATCTGTCCCCTGCAGCCACGGAGCCCCGCTCCTCTGTGCCATCAGCTCCTCCTGCTGTCCTTCCAGCTCCAGAGAGGGATTGCGCCGATGGAAGCTCGACCCCAGCGCTGCGAACTCTGCTCCCATCTGGATACCACGGGAATGGCCACTGCAGCAGGACCAGGTCAGCACCGGGATGAGGCCGATGAGCACAGCATCCCCTTTCCGCCCCGGCAGGGACTGAGCAGACACAGGCAGCGAACTCAGTCACATTGCAGCATCCTGACCATGCCTTCCTTCCCAAAGCCCACATTCCCTCCGGGAACGAGGCCCCCGGCCAGGTTTTGCAGATGCCATCCCACAGCCAGTCCAGCACTGAATACAACTGACAGCTTGCACCAAAACCTATGCTCTTTCCCCCAAAACGGGGTGAATGAACTCTTGCCAGGAGCAGCACACGCCTGGATCCACACCTCAGTTGTCCTTGTTGGGTGCTTGGGAGCTTTCCCCTGCTCCCCCATGCCAAGACCCCATCTTCCTCCTCACCTTGATCCCAAAAGCAGAATCGGCATCATCCAGACCATCCTCAGCATCCTCCTATGGGGTCAGGCATCCCATGGGGCAGGCGGGTGCTGCTGGAGCATCTCCCTGGCATCGCAGAGGGGGCTGGAGGCAGAGAGCAGCGCTGAGGGCATCTGAGCTGGTTCTGAGCCGCTCACCCCAAAGCGGTGCCCATGGCCGTGGTGCTGGGGCCTCCCTGACCACAAACACCCACCCCCAGCAATCACTGCATGGCCAGAGCACCACTAGGAAAGGGCCTCGTGTCCCGAGGTCTGGCCCAGGTGAGTTTCAGTGCTCCAAAAGCACAGGGGACAGGGCAGGGGCACCCATCCCCGTCCTGAGCATCTCCCCGAATCCCTCCTGCTCCTCACCCCGGGCTGTTCAGCCTGGAGAGGAGAAGGCTGTGTGGAGACCTCAGAGCAGCCTTCCAGGCTCTGAAGGGGGGCTATAGGGATGCTGGGGAGGGACTCTTCATTAGGGACTGTAGTGACAGGACAAGGGGTAACGGGTTCAAACTTAAACAGGGGAAGTTTAGATTGGATATAAGGAGGAAATTCTTTCCTGTTAGGGTGGTGAGGCACTGGAATGGGTTGCCCAGGGAGGTTGTGAATGCTCCATCCCTGGCGGTGTTCAAGGCCAGGTTGGACGAAGCCTTGGGTGCCATGGTTTAGTGTGAGGCGTCCCTGCCCATGGCAGGGGGTTGGAACTGGATGATCTTAAGGTCCTTTCCAACCCAAACTATTCCATGATTCTATGGTCTCCCCAGGGGAGGATGAGGGAAGGGTCATGGAATCAACATGGAGCTGCTTCTGCCCAAGATCCTGTCCCAGTCTCCCCTCTGGCAGGTTAAATATGCATCCTCTTTTCACCGCTGGGAAGGGGGAAACAGGGATCCAGGAACCCAAACCCCTCCAGCATCCCCCCGTCCTGCTCCCAGAGAACCCCCTCACCCTGCAGTGCTGGGGAAGGATGAGCACTCACCGTTCCCGGGAAGAGCGGTGGGATGCAGGATGCTCCGAGGATGCTCCGAGGATGCCCTGGGGGCTGAGCGCAGCTTCCAGCGGCATCTTGCGGTAACCGGCCCCGCACGGCGCAGCCCCGACGGCACGAAGAGGGGCTCCACCAGCACCAAACCTCAGCGGCGGAGCAGCGTCCCCCGCACCTCAAGTGCGAGAAGCCCTCCCCGTCCCGTCCCCCCCAGCAGCGCCGGTAACAGCGGAGCCCCTCGGGACCCCGTTCTCCACCCTCCGGCGGCGCTCGGTGGGGAGGGACAAGCTTCAGCCCCCCCCCAAGGCAGCGGGACCCCCCCGGAGCCGTCCTGCCCCATGGAGCGGGTCCGGAAGGGGAGGACCCGCGGAGGGGGGGGTTCGGCGCCGCTGGCACCGGGTGATGGGAGTGGGGCCGGGAGGACAAAAGGAGCGGAAAAAAGCGGTCGGAAATGATGCGGTGGTGACGCGTCCTGGAGTGACGTCACGCCGGCGTTGGGAGTGACGTCACCTCCCAACACACATGACGTCACCCGGCCAAAAGCCGTCTCTTTAGCAGTGAAAAGTTTTATTGGGGGGTAAAAGTGAGGGGGGGGGGGGGGAACCGGGCCGGGGGCCGGCCCCGGGCTGGTGTGACGTCATACGGGGGGTGTGACGCAATGGGCGCGGCGCGGCTCCTCCATCCATTGGCAGCAGCAGGACCGGGCCCCCCCCCCGGCCCTACCTGCAGCGGCCCCCTCGCAGCGAGCGCCGGGTCAGGCGGGTGAGCAGCGCCTTCACCCGGCCCCAGTGCGAGCGCCCGTCCTGCGGGAGGACACCGGGGTCAGCGGGGGGGGCACCCATGGGACCCCCGCCCCGTCACCCCACAGCCGTTACCTTGTCCGGTGCTGGTGCAGCCGCCGCGCTGTCGGTGGGGTCCAGCAGGCTGGGGGAGCTGGCCGAGTACCCCCACGTCCTGCGGCACGGGGCAGCATCAGGGGCTGCGAGGGGATGGGGGGCATAAAGCTGGTTGGGGGGGTCCCACGGGGCATGGACCCACAGCCCCCGCATCCCACCCTGCTCACCTGCAGCCTGGCTGTCCGAGCAGGAGCGCGGCCGGAACCTCTCACCCTTCCACACGGCTGCATCCCGGCTGTGCTGGAGGTGAGGATCCGCATGGAAGTGAGCTGCGATACCCCCCTCCCACCGCAGAGCATCACCCGCTCCCTGCGCACCCCGCCTGCTGCCGGCCCTCACCGTGGCGTCCGGGCGGGTGCTCTGGGTGCCCTCGGCCTGCTGCCGCAGGAGCCGGTTGTCCTGCTGCAGCTTGGCCAAGCGTTCCAGCATCTGGCAGACGTGCTCCAGGTACCGCAGCCCCTGCCCCGGCTCAGCCCCGCTGGGTGCAGCATCCCCGGTGTGCTCTGCTGCGGCCTCCTCCGGCTCCCGAGGGGGCTTCGCGGCCCCGCGGTGCCCTCGCCCCAGCACCCGCTGCCTCCGGCTGCGCTGCGCCAGCCTCCTGTGGGGCAGGCGGGGGGGCTCCGTGCCCGGGGTCCGCTCCGGTGCGAGCCCATCGAGGGGGAAGCGGCTCTCGGAGCCCGCGGGGGGGGACGGCGAATGCTCGGTGCTGCCCATCTCCAGCCCGGAGTCCTCCGACTCGCACTTGAGGAGCTGCCCCCCGGGCCGGGGGGTGCTCAGCCCCCCCCGCGGGCTCTCCTGCAGCCGCCGGTACACGCTGGCCGAGGTGTGAACCACGCAGCTCTCTGCCGCCTCCCAGGGACCATCTGCGGGCGAGGGAACGCGGTGGGACTGGGGGGGCCCCGGGCACGGCCCCACCACCGCTCACAGCCCCACAGCGGCTCCAGCCGCGCTCCCCAAGCGAATCAACCCCCACCACCACCCATGGACTCCTGTCCAGAGGGTCCCCACGGACAGGGGTGCTCACAGGAGGGCAGCACGATGCTGCTCCCCAAAACATGGCCCCGTGCCCGTCCTCTGCACCCTGATCCCCCAAACCCTGCTCGTACTCGGCGCCAGACACAGCAGGGCCACGGGCTCCATCCTTCCCCCACCGTGGGATGGCTCCAGGAACCCCCAGCTCCTCACATTCACCCCCACAGCACGGGGGGCACCACCAGGATGCGGCCCCCATCGCATCAACAGGGACCTCGGCTCCAGCCCGGCCCAACCACAGCAGAAAGGGGCTCATGGAGGTGGGGAGCGAAGCTTTGGCACCCCCGGGGCACCCAAACTGAGCTGCCCCCCCCCAGACCCCCCCCGTGCACTCACAGCAGCTGAACCTCCTCTTCCAGACGGCGCGGGAGCCACCCCACATCCCGAGCGCCGGAGCCGAGTGCCGGGCGCGCTTCCCGGCGCTCCCTTTTATAACCACCCCAGCCGGAGACAGGCCCTGGATCCAGAGGCACCTCATTACAGGACTGGTTCCCAACTGGTTCCTTGCAGGCTTTGGGATCGGTGATACTGGCTGAGCCGGTGGTTAAGGGCTCCCTTCCCACCCCACTGGGTTGTTTGGGCACCGGGAAGCCGACAGCCCCGTGCCGGATGCATCGGGGAACCCCGCTCTGGGCTTGGGGGGGATTCGATCCCAAATTCCTACCAAACCGCTTGACCCCGGGGCTGGAGCCTCTCACATGGGGTCGGATCCGGGATGCTGCGAGGGACAATCCCGGCGTTGAGCAGCAACGAATTCCAGCAATGCCGTGGGCCAGCGGCTCCCACACACCCAGCTCCCATGGGCAGTCCCGGGTGGCACCATGTGCTATGGGGCTGCTTCCCACCCCATTGCCACCGGGATGGGGGGCACAGAGGGAGGGAAGGGGCACAAGGGGTTCATATCACTGGCAGGACTGAAAACCACTCAGGGGGTCCCCACACACATCCTCAGACCCAGAGTTAGGTGCTGCGGGGGGCTGTCCCACCATAGCCCAAGCTGAGAGCACACAGGGGTGGGTGGGCCATGGGTTTGTGGGCGCCCCGAAGGGACCCCAGTGCAGGCACAGACCCCTCAGCACAACAGTGGAAGGCAAAACCTGGTTTGAATTCCCAGCACCCTGGGCCCTTCCTAGCAAGGGGACAGGAATCCGGGTCTGGAGACCCCTAAAGACCCCTTTCAGCACAAACACCATCAATCGGGGGTGCCGGGGACACCCAGGCCCCCCTTCCAGCACAGACACCGCAGAGCAGGGACCCCTGAGCATCCCTCCTGCACGAGCATCCCAGGTTGGGGACCCCCCCCCAATAAGCTGCGTGGGGGTCCCCAATGCCCGGGGGCCTCCGACTCACCCCGGAGCGGCTCCACGCTGAAGGCTCCGCGGCGGCGGAGCATCCCGGAGCGGGGGGGTTAAGCCGGGACCGGGCAGGGGGAGCTGGAACCGAGCAGGACGCACCGGGAGGACCGGGCAGGGCGGACGGGGCGGCCCCGCTGCTCCTGCGCCGTTTGTATGGGGCAGGGCTCGGGGCGGGGCGGGGCAGGGGGGTGCGGCCGCCCCCTGCCCGAGCAGCCCCTTTGCCCCCAGCCCCATGCTACCGCATCCGGATAGCGCTGAGCACCCCAGGAGCCTGCTCGGGGCTGGCAGGGGAGGGACCCCCGGGGCAGCCCCCCCATATCTGCCAGCAAAGGGCTGTGGGCATCCCGCGTCTCAATGGTGCGAGCTGGGGGTGCACGGGGGCTGCAGCACACCCCAGGCACAGGTCGGGCAGCAAGGCTGGGCTGTCCCCACCGGGATGTGGGACGTGGGACGTGGGATGTGGACGTGGGAAGGGGTCGGTGCTCTCCTAATCTCGGCCGGGAGCTGCTGATAGCGGCAGAGCCCATCCCCGTGCAAACAGGCACGAAGGGAGGAGAGCAGCGATAAGAGCCCACCTGAGCCCTGCAGGACAAAGGGCCCGGCCAACAGCCCGCAATAAACCCCGACACCTCCCAGGGGCCCCCCAGCCCTGGGGCAGGGGGTTTGCATCAGCTCCCCACTGCTGCTATGGGTGCAGGCAGGAAGGGTTTGGGGTCCTTGCCTGCATTCCCCCCACCCAGCCCTGGGAGGGTGAAGGGTGCTTCTGCCCCCCCCGCCCTGCACAGACCAGACACGGGAGTGGAGCAAATATATATTATCTTTATATAGAGATCTGGTTTAATAGCTCGGAGAAGCCCTTTGCAGTCAGTGCACAAAGCAGTGCCAGCCCCGTCTCCGGTACCTAAGTGCTCAAGCATCCCTCTGCCCCCCCGTTATGTCCCTGCTGCGCCCCGGGGTGCATACAGCTGCTGCAACCCAGGCTGAGAACTAACCCAAGCTCATCACACGCACCCTGACACAGCAAGGGCAAAGGGGGCAGCTGCAGCTCACACCCCCCTACCACCACCAGCCCCAACCCTACCAAAGCAATGGGGCTGTTGGGGTGCCCGAGGGGATGCAGCGGGGAGGTCCCCATCGCCCCCTGCGTGGGGCTCAGGAGTGGGGGGGCACCGTGGGGGCTCTGGTGCCGCCGGGGGGGCCCTGGTAGCGCAGCTTCGCGTGTTTCTCACAGTAGAGCTCGTCCCCGGCCCAGAAGTGCCCCCGCATCTTCAGGTTGAGGCCGCAGTCGGCGCAGGCGTAGCAGGATGGGTGCCGGTACCGCCCGTCCCGGATGCGCACCGCCTGCGTCCTGCGGGGAGACGGGGCCGTCACAGCCCGCCCCAGCCGGGACCCGGCTCCCCGGGGACCCCCTCCCGGTCCCGGTCCCGGTCCCGGTCCCCACTCACGCGATGCCGCTGCCGCACTTCTCACACGGGGGCAGCCTCGGGAGCCCCGGCGCGGGTTTGCGGGCGCTGGGCGAGAGGCGGCTGGGGAAGGGCGCTGCGGGGACACGAGGCCGTGAGGGCCGCACCCGCACCCCGCAGAGCCTCCCGCACCCCGAGCCCCCCTCACCTCCAGCCTCGTCCTCCAGCGCCTCCTGCAGCAGGCGGAAGGTGCTGGACTGCCGCGGCGCCGCCCGCAGCTCCCGGTTCTCCTGCAGCATCTTCAGCACCTCCGAGTCCTCCTCCAAGCGCCTCATGGCCGGCTCCGAGCCCGGGCTGCGGGAGCGGCACCCGGGGGGTGGCTCCCAGCACCCCAACGCTTGGGTCCGTGGGGCTGCGCCCAAACCACCCTCCACCGGCTCCTCCACCCTGGGGAGCTGCCCCAGCCTGCCCCGTCCCTCCCACAGCCCGACCTGCGCCGCAGGTGCCTTAACTCTTTGCATGGGCTCCCTCAGCACCGCAGCACCCATGGGTGCTGAGCCATCGCGTTGTGATGGGTGCGTGGGGCTGGGAGCTTCGCTGTGTCTGCGTCCCGAGCCCGCTCCGTACCTGCTGCAGGGGTTGGGGGAGCATGAAGAGCTGCGCCGCTCCCCGGGGGTGTCCCAGGGGTTTGGGGGGGCCTCGAGCCCCGGTGAGGGTGGGCGGGGGGGTGGAGGCAGCGCAGACCCCGGGGAGCTGTGGAGGCTTCCTCGCTCCTGGCAGGGGGTGAAGAGGAGCTGGGTGAGGTGCTGGGTGCCAGGGGTTGTGCAGGTGCTGCAGCAGCCCCCCAGCATGGGGACACCCAGATGGGGCCCAAGGGCTTCTTCCAAGCCCTGGTCCCCAGAGGGATGGGTGGTCCCAAGGAGGGATGCAGGGATGCTCCATGGCTCGGCATGGGACAGGCCAAGGGGAATGGCTTTAACCTGCCCGAGGGGAGACTGAGATGAGCTCTGAGGCAGAAGCTCTTCCCTGTGAGGGTGCTGAGGCGCTGGCACAGGGTGCCCAGAGAAGCTGTGGCTGCCCCATCCCTGGCAGTGCTCAAGGCCAGGTTGGACACAGGGGCTCGGAGCAAGCTGCTCCAGTGGAAGGGGTCCCTGGCCGTGGCAGGGGTTGGAGCTGGAGGAGCTTTAAGGTCCCTTCAATCCAAACCAGGCTGTGACTCAAAATCCCTCTGCTCCCACCCTGGTAACCCCGCGCCTGCCTCCGTCCCCTCCCTGCATCTGCTCCTGCTCAGGGCAGGAAAGGCGAAACCCGGATAAGTGGAAGCCGATGTTCCCGGGAGCAGCCGCCATCAGATGCAAACCCGGGGTGGGGATGAGGAACGCTGTGCCCGGACCCTGCAGAGGCGGAGAGGGGCAGCCCCAGGGCTCTGTGTGCCACAGGCAAGCGAAGGATGAGCTAAACTTAGGCACGGGTGGAGCTGGGCGCTTTGGCTTCCTCCCCACCAGTACCCGGTGCCAGCCCGCACTGGGATGTGGCACAAAGCATGGTCCAAGGGCAGCCCTTCCCCTCTGTGCCCCTTTGGGCACGGGTCCGGCCACAGCCCCCACCTCAGCCCCATGGAGGGGGGCTCTGGGGCAGGGAGGGACCCTTTTAGGGCCGGCACCAAAGCGAACACTGATGTGGGGAGGAAGGAGGGAGCGTGCGCCCGGAGGAGCCAAGGGGCAGCAGGGCCGTGGCCAAAGGCAGCCGGGATGGGCCGCGGCGCTTCCCAATTTGGGCTTGGAAAACAAGGAGAGGGAAAGCGAGGAAGGAGCGAGAGCAGGGAGAGGCCGAGCCCGGAGCCAGCGGCTGCCCCCGGGGCACCGCAGCCGCCCGAAACCGCGGCAGGGAGGGACGGGGCGACCGCGGGCATCCCGGGACCGGTCCAGGCGGCGAGGGAAGCATCCCGGCCCCCGGGCACCGCGGCCCGGCCCTGCCCTGCGCTCCCCAGACTGGTTCGGGCTCCCCAGGCCGGCGCCGCTGCCGAGAGGGGCCGGGGAGGAGCGAGGAGAGCGCAGGGAGGGAGCCGGTGCCCGTGGGGCGCTGCCAGCGCGGCGGGGAGGCACCGGCGGCACCGCGGCAGGACGCCGGCCCCGGGGCAGAGCGGGCCGGGAGCTGGCGCTGCGGCGGGGATGAGCAGGGCTGCGACCAGCGGTGGTTTCGGGGTGCCAAGGGGATGGGTTTGGGGTGCAAAGGGGATGGGTTTGGGGTGAACAGCGGTGGTTTTGGGGTGCCAAGGGGATGGGTTTGGGGTGAACAGCGGTGGTTTCAGGGTGCCAAGGGGATGGGTTTGGGGTGAACAGCGGTGGCTTCAGGGTGCCAAGGGGATGGGTTTGGGGTGCAAAGGGGATGGGTTTGGGGTGAGAACAGTGGTGGTTTTGGGGTGCCAAGGGGATGGGTTTGGGGTGAACAGCAGTGGTTTTGGGGTGCCAAGGGGATGGGTTTGGGGTGCCAAGGGGATGGGTTTGGGGTGAACAGTGGTGGTTTCGGGGTGCCAAGGGGATGTTTTCGGGGTGCCAAGGGGATGTTTTCGGGGTGCCAAGGGGATGGTTCAGCATCACAAAGTTCACACTGCACAGATCCCCCAGCAGCTCTGCCTGGCCCCACACAGCCCGCAGCTCCTGCTCACCTGGCAGAGGCCGGGACTGGCGATCTCCTCCATGAGCTGTGAGCTGTGGGGAGAGGATGGAGCCATCAGGAGATACCGGAGCCTGCCCGGGCCCTGCCCATCCCGTCCAGCCTTACCCTTCGCTGCCGGGCAGGGGGCTGCAGGACGCGGGGCTGGAGCCTCTCCTGGCGCCCCGGCTCTCCTCCTGCATCCACAGCGCATCCTGGGGACGGGAGGGAGACGCCAGCAGCTGAAACCGGCCCTGGATGAGGGTCCAGGGCACGGGGGCTGCCCGCGGCTCACCTGGAAGCGGGTTCCCAGCCTCTCCGGTGAGGTGTCCCCATTGGTGTGGCTGGGAGGTGGCACCGGGGACCTGGGGACCAAGGGAGAGTGGTGGCTCCGGCATGCAGGAGCCTGCGGCTTGGCCGCTCTGTCCCTGCCCGCTGGCAGGGGTTGGATGAGCTTTAAGGTCTCCCCCAGCATGAACCAGTCTGTGATTCCCCTGCAGCACCCCCAGGCCCCCAACTGGGACCAGTTGGCCGGGTAACGGCTGCCAGCGCTGCCTGATCCTTAATTACAGACCCGGGACGGGCTCCCATGGGAATGGCGGAGCCCCAGGAGCCGCTGGAAGGGAAAACAACCGGCTCGGCCGTGGCTGGGTCCCCGCAGCGCAGCACCCACCTCTCCACCTGCAGCCGGAGCTGCCCAGGGCTCTGCTTGATCTTATTCTGCGCCTCCACGTTGAGCATCTCGGCTGCACTCTCCCCGTTGATGGTGACAATGAGGTCCCCCGGGCGCAGGTCACCCACGGCCGCCTTCCCGTGCTCTGCCACCTCCATGGGACATGGGGATGGGCCCGGTGTTATCCTGGTGGTGCTGGGGGCAGCGAGTCCCGTGTCCCCCCCCCTTCCCCCGCCACCCCTTAGCCCCACACATGTCATGCAATCCTCGTGCATCACCGTGCCCAAGCACATGGATGGGCACAGCCAGCTCCGTGGTGGTCCCCAAATCCAGGATGCTCCCATTGCGGTCCCCAATGGAAACACGGCACAGCCCTGCTGAGCTCAATGAACCCATTCCCACCATCACCCATCCCCATGGAGCAGGATCCCTCAAGGACACCAAACAGGATCCGCTCCTGGACCACCCCCGGAACGGAGCCCACCCCTGCATCCCTCCCCAGGGCCCGTGGGGGGCTCCTACCTTGGAGACGGTGATGGGCTTCCCAAAGTCTCTTCCCCCCGCGATGCGGAAGCCCCATGGGGCAGGACCGGGCAGGGTGACGGTCACGGGCATGGCAGCGGGTCCTGCGCAGGGTGAGGACAGGCCGGGTGCCGAGAGGATGGGGCAGAGCAGGGACCCTGCACCCTGCACGGGGATGATGGAGCCCAAGAGCTCCTTCCTTCCGGGGAGGGGACCCGCGCCCTCGCGCTGTCACAGGGTGCCGGCAGCTTCCTCTTGCTGCCCCGCTGTCCCCAGCCAAGGCTCTTGGTGGCTTCCTCCCCTTCCAGCCCTCCCCTGGGACCGAGGGGTGCGAGGCTGCAGCTGCAGGGGATGGAGCGGCCGCGGTCACCGGGGTCTTGGGCAAGGCAGGAAATCGGTGCTGGTTTGGCCACGGCAAGGCCAAACCAGAGGGATCTGAGGGGAGGATGTAGCTGGCGAGGGGAGGATCCTGCTGCGCATCAGGGCTGCAAGAACCAGCCCCCCCCCCCCCCCCCCAGCCCTTCGTCCTGCAGCAAACCCACACGGGTAAAGGATGCTGAACATCCCCTGGAATAGCACGGGGCCCGCAGCAGCCCTTGGCTTCGATGGGATCGATGGGAAGGGGCAGCACCATCCACTGAATATCAGCTCTGGCACCGCTGGTCCCCTCAGGACCCAGCCCAGCCCAGCCCCACCAACACAGCCCCAGGGTGGCAGCAGGAGTAGGGTACTCATCTGCATCCCAGCACCCCATCCTCATCCCGGCACCCCATCCTCATCCCGGCACCCCATCCTCATCCCAGCACCCCATCCTCATCCCGGCACCCCATCCACATCCACAACCGCCGGGGAAGGCATTTTTAACATCCCAAGTGCACAAAGAGGGGTTTCAGAGGCTGCCACGAAGAATTTCCTGGGCTGGGCTTTGCAGCGCCGGGAGAAAACCCCAAACCCGCTCCCCGTGCCCAGCCCCGCTCAGCATCCCTGGGAACCGAGGTCTGGCTCCCCGGGGACCCCAACAGCCGGGGGCACCCCCGAGAGTTGCGGCACCCTGCTCCCGCACCGCTGCTCCCGCACCCCTGCTCCCGCACCCCCTCATCCCCTGCCCCGTCCATCCCGCATCCGGGGCACGGCGCTGCCTTTGTGGCCGCGGTGCCTGTCACGCTCCGGGGCTGCCGGCGGCTCCAGCCGCTGCCGGGGCCGTGGGGACAGCGCTGCCCGCACCCCCGTCCCTGCCCGTCGGATCAGGGCCCCCGAGCCCCGCATCCCCGCGGGACCGGCCCCGGCCCCCCCCCCGCCCAGCACTCACCGAGCCGGCGGCCCCGTGGGGCGGCGGAACCGAGCCCGGCCCCACGGCAGCGGCGCCTCCCCCTCGGAAGGGGCCGGCGGAGCCCGACGGGGCCGGGCCGCAGCTCGGCAGCGCCGTCTACGGGCACGGCCGCCCCGACGGGGCGCACGGTGTGGGGCGCGGGCCGGCCCAGGGGTCCCACGTGTCCGGATGCAGCCCCACAGGCATCACCGCAGACCCCTACACGAACCGCTGCAGCCCCGCGTGCTCCCCACGCCTCACTGCAGCCCCACACATGCACCCCTGCAGCCCCACGTAGCCCTGCCCACCCCTGTGCGCCCACAGCATCGCTTCCACGCAGCATCACAACCCCACGGGGGACCGCCACACCCCCAACGTGCAGCCCCACCGCCCCATGCAGCGCCCTGTGGGCTCCTGCCCCACATCTCCCATGGGCACTGCCCCATCCTGTCCCCACCAGGCTGAGCCTTGGGTTGAGCTGAGCTTTAATGATGGACAAGAAGCAACCGCGACTCCCAGGTGCGCGGCACGGCCCTGGACCAACACCTCGGGTCAGAGCCGTCATGGTCAGGCCCCGGCACCGGCAAGGATGCCCCCGGCACTGCCCGGAGAGGAGCGGGAGGTACGGTCACCGCCGGCATGGAGGGACACGAGGCGCCGAGGAGGGGTCTGGTTAAGGCACTGGATTGCGAGGACCCCCCTGTGCAGGGATAGGTCCCTGTTAGAGCAGCCCCATAGGGGCAGGCGGAAGCTGGAGGCGCTTTGTCCCCATGGGGGGGACGCGGAGGGGACGCGGCAGGGAGCGGCGTGGCCGGAATCCTCCTCCGCAGGGCCCGGATCACACCGGGGCCACGTAGTTCCCGGGAAAGGTGCCGAACTTCTGCGTCCTCCGGGACACGCCTGGGGGGGGACAGAGGCAAAGGGAGGGGGTGAGGGACCCCGGGGCAACGCGTCCCCGTAGCCACAGCAGTGCCACGCACCCACGAACCAGCCGTCGTCGCACTGCTGCATCACGTCCACGCGGTCCCCCTCCAGCAGCTCCAGCTCGTCCGCGTTCTGCGGCCGGTACTGGTAGAGCGCGCGGTACCTGGGACACAGAGCGAGGCCACCGAGTGCCACCCCCCCACCGGGAACACGGGGACGCGGTGCCCGCTCCCGGCCCCACTCACGGTGTCCATTGGATGTCGGAGCCGTTGTAGGACGGGGCGGGCTCGGGGCGGGCGGCGGGGGCTGCGCGCTGCAGCGGGGACAGGATGGGTGCAGGTCACAACGTGGCACCGCAGCCCCAGCGGTGCTGGGCGCGGTGCTGGGGCATCACTCACCTGCTCGGGGGCACCGGCTGGGCGCCACGGCTGCTGATGGGGGGCTGCGGGGTGCGGGGGGCTGCGGGGGGCCAGGGAGGGGTTTGGGGCGCTGCTATGGGGCAGTTTTGGGGAGGGGGGGAAGGCGGAGCCGAGGTGCCGGGGGGAGGACGATGGGGAGGATGCTCGTGGGGAGCCGGTGGGCAGGGGGGGGCCGGGGGAGCGCTGTGGGGCTGGGGAGGCAGCGGGGGGCCGGGGGCTGGCGCTGGCGCAGGGTGCGACGTCCTCGGAGCTGGATTTGACCCGCGGCTCCTTCAGCACCTGCACGTAGGTGGCGGGGAAGATGCCCTGGCGGCTGGTGCCGGAGATGCGCCCCTCGTACCAGTTGTGGTCCACGCGCCGCGCCAGGCACACGCGCTCGCCCTGGCAACGGGACAGAGCCATGGGATGGGCTGGAAGGAGCTCCTCCAGCTCCAACCCCAACCCCTTCCACTGGAGCAGGGTGCTCCAAGCCCCTGTGTCCAGCCTGGCCTTGAGCACTGCCAGGGATGGGGCAGCCACAGCTGCTCTGGGCGCAGTGCGGCGGGGATGGGTGATGCGGTGATGTTCTGGTACCTTGCGGAACGAAAGCTCCACCGGCAGCTCCCCTCGGAAGTTGTAGAGCGCCAGGGCCTCGCCGTACTCCAGCACTTGGATGGTCGGCGCCTTGATGGGCTTGGGAACCTCCGTGGAAGGCAGGATCTGGGGGGAACAGTGGGGTGAGGGTCAGCGCTGGGTGCCCCGGCACAGCTGACCCCCCCATCTCCATCCTCATGGGCTCACCTCTACGTAGTTGGAGGGGAAGATGCCCACGCGGCCATGGTGCTCGCCCTCCAGCCAGTTCCTGTCCACCTCCTTATGGATGTAGACGATGTCCCCCTTCTGCAGCGTCAGCTCCCTGCGAGCAGCAGCGCTCAGGGACGCCGGCCCGTCCCAGCATCCCCGGTGCCACCCCTGGACCCCACCGCCACCACCCGGGGACTGCAGCAGCACCATCACTTACTTGGGTGACTCAGCTTGGAAGTCGAACTTGAGGCGAGCGGCTTTCATCTGGGGACGGAGAAGTGGGGTCAGAGGAGGGCTCCCCCCTCCCCGCCATTCCCAATCCCATGCGGGATGGGACCAGCCCGGCCTCACCTTCTTCTCCCTCCCTCCTGACGGCCTCTGCGGGGTCCCCCATGTCGGGCAGGCTGGGGAGGGTCGCTGGCCGCAAGGTGTCTGTAAAGGGGGGGTGTCAGCAGCCTGGTCCATGGGGCGCCCCACGGCCCGGATGGGGGGGGGGGGGGGGCTCACCTCTTCCGGGGGCTGCGCGGCTCCGGTCGCTGCCGAGCCCGGGGATGCTCCGCTCCATGGCCGGGGTCTGCAGCCGGGTCCTGCGGGGGGCAGCGGCTCAGGCCCGGGAGCAGCGGGGACCGCGGTGCTCCGCTCCCGGCCCCGCTCCCGCACCGACCCCCGCGGTGTTCGCTTCCCTTCCGCTTCCCCCGCCCTGCTCCGCGGGGCGCAGCGCTGGGGCCCCGCCAAGCCCCGGGACGCTGCGTCCCGGCCCCGGGAAGCGGCTGAGCCCCGCCCGCCCCGTCCCACCCGAGGGCAGCCGGGACGGCGCCGGGACCCCCCCGTGCGGGCCGCGGGCACCCAAGCCCGGCCCCACAGCCCCAGAGCGGAGCCGCGGTCTCTGCCCCCCCCCCCCCTTCCCGTTGCGGTCCCGGGGAGCACTCACGGCGGGGCCGCAGGGGCCGGAGCGGGGCCGCGGGCGGCGGGGGCCGGCGCTGGGCGCTGCGGGAGGGGCGGGAGCGGGAATTGATGATCCGGGAGGCCGGGGCCGGGCGGGAAGCGCAGGAATCCAGCGCCGAGGAGGGACGGGAGGCGCCGGGACAGGGTCCTAGCGCCCCGCGGCCACGGCTCGGACACGGCACGGCCGTGAGGTACCGGCCAGATGTGCCCCATCCGGATGTGCCCGCACCCACCCCTGCCCGCATCCAGCTGTGCACAGACCCAGCCCTGCCCGCACCCACCCTGCCCGTATCCAGCTGTGCACAGACCCAGCCCTGCCCGCATCCATCCCCGCCTGCATCCATCCCTGCCTGCATTCCCGTGCAATGGCTGCGTGCACAGATGGACAGAGACCCCATCCCCATTCCACGTCCCGTCAGGGCCATGGGGCGTGGGAGGGGTGCAGCCGGGATACCTGACAGGGTTCCCATCGTGTCTCCATGGCCCTCATGTCCTTGTCCAGCTCCACGCTGAGCTGCTCCAGCTCCTGCTCCAGCAGCACCTAGGGCAGGATGGGGCTGCACCAGGCGAGGGTGGCTCTGCCCGCACCCCACATCCCCTGGCACAGGCACCAAGACCCCGCTGCCAACCCCCTTGGCCCCCAGCTTACCTCAATGGGACGAGCCCGTGCTGGTGGCACCGCTGCCGGGGGCTGGAAAGGGCGAGGGGCTGGTGAGGTTTGTGCACACCGAGGCCCCCAGCAGCATCCCCGGGGCAGGATGTTCCTACCTGCTTTGGCAGCGAGGGGCTCCCCGGTTCGTAGTCAAAGATGCTGCCGGGCTCCACGGTGGCACCAGTGACAACCCAGGGGAGCCTGTGGGAAGCAGGAGGGGCTCAGCCCCAGAGCCCTGCACCCATGGGCAGCACCAGGCACCTCACTGCACTCACCAGTCCCCGTTGGGCATGGCCGGCTTCATCTGAGGTGCTGGGGGGGACGGAGGCAGCGAGGAGCTGAGCTTATCCGTGGGGCAGGGATGGGGGTCCCAGTCGGGCTCTGTGGGGATGGAGGAGGAGGCAAACGCTGGCACAGGGTGCCCAGAGAAGCTGTGGCTGCCCCATCCCTGGCAGTGCTCAAGGCCAGGTTGGACACAGGGGTCAGAGCACCCTGCTCTATGGAAGGTGTCCCTGTCACTGGAGCTGGATGAGCTTTAAGCTCCCTTCATCCCAGCCCCTTCCGTGGCTCCTCACCTGGCAGCCTGCGGTGCATCTGCCGGAACATGCTGCGGTACCAGTCCCGGGCTGGTCCACGCTCTGTGGGGACACAGCGGGGGGTCAGGGGGTGCCGGGGGGGGATGACCCGCAGCACTGTGCCCCCCGCTCACCGAGCGCGAGGCAATGGGCATCCCGGTCTCATCCACCGGCCCGATGCCGTCGTACTTGACCCAGCGCCGCTCCCGCCTCCTGCTGTCCTTGGTCCACGTTGCCGACCAGCCCGGGGGGGGCCGGGGCCCGGGGGGGGCAGCGCTGGGGCCGGCGGGTGCTGTGGGGCTGCGCGTCCTCCCCTCCTTGGCCGGCCAGGTCTGGTACCAGTCGCTCGCTGGGGGTGAGGGGGATGAGGGGAGCCCTTGCCCTGTGCCGAGCACTGGGGACGCGTGGGGATGCTCGTGGTGGTACCTGAGCTCCTGGGGGGGGCCCGGCCACGTTCAGCAGCACCAGGGGCCTGCGGGGCCTGGAAGTCGAAGTTCAGGGTGTTGGAGCCGTGGTGGTGGATGACGGGGACCTGCAGCACAAGGAAGGGGCTGGAGCAGGGGGAGCGCCCCGGGGGCAAAGGGCTGGGGGTGAAGCAGGTCCCCACTCACCCGCACCGCAGAGCGCAGGGGGGCACGCACGGAGCCGGCCGCGAGCCGGGGGCGTCCTCAACGCCCTGATCCCGGCTGGCAGCGGGGGCCGGGAGCCGGCCTGCCATGGCCCGTGTCCTGTGGGAACGCGGCTGCGCTCACTGTGGGTCCCAGCCCTGCGTCATGGGTGCTCCCAGCCAGCACCCACGGCCACAGCCAGAGCACCGGCTCCGCAGCAGGGACGGACCCAGCCCCACCGAGGAGACAGCCCCTCAGTGTGGGACACAGCGATGGGCAAGCCCCTCATCCCTTCACCCCCTTACCCCATCCCCTTACCTTACCCCATCACCCCCTCATCCCATCACCACTTTATCCCATCACCCCCTTACCCCATCACCCCCTCATCCCTTCACCCCCTTACCCCATCACCCCCTCATCCCATCACCACTTTATCCCATCACCCCCTTACCCCATCACCCCCTCATCCCATCACCACTTTATCCCATCACCCCCTTACCCCATCACCCCGTCATCCCATCACCCCCTTACCCCATCACCCCCTCATCCATCACCCCCTTACCCCATCACCCCCATATCCCATCACCCCCTGACCCCATCACCCCCATATCCCATCACCCCCTTACCCCATCACCCCCTTACCCCATCACCCCCTCATCCCATCACCCCCTGACCCATCACCCCCTTACCCCATCACCCCCTCATCCCTTTACCCCCTTACCCCAACCCCCTGACCCCATCACCCCCATATCCCATCACCCCCTTACCCCATCACCCCCTTACCCCATCACCCCCTCATCCCATCACCCCCTGACCCCATCACCCCCTTACCCCATCACCCCCTCATCCCTTTACCCCCTTACCCCATCACCCCCTCATCCCATCACCACTTTATCCCATCACCCCCTCATCCCTTCACCCCCTTACCCCATCACCCCCATATCCCATCACCCCCTTACGCCATCACCCCCTCATCCCATCACCCCCTTACCCCATCACCCCCATATCCCATCACCCCCTTACCCCATCACCCCGTCATCCCATCACCCCCTTACCCCATCACCCCCCCTCATCCCTTCACCCCCTTACCCCATCACCCCCATATCCCATCACCCCCTTACCCCATCACCCCGTCATCCCATCACCCCCTCATCCCTTCACCCCTTACCCCATCACCCCCATATCCCATCACCCCCTTACCCCATCACCCCCATATCCCATCACCCCCTTACCCCATCACCCCGTCATCCCATCACCCCCTTACGCCATCACCCCCTCATCCCATCACCCCTTACCCCATCACCCCCATATCCCATCACCCCCTTACCCATCACCCCCTCATCCCTTCACCCCCTTACCCCATCACCCCCATATCCCATCACCCCCTTACCCCATCACCCCCTCATCCCTTCACCCCCTTACCCCATCACCCCCATATCCCATCACCCCCTTACCCCATCACCCCCTCATCCCATCACCCCCTTACCCCATCACCCCCATATCCCATCACCCCCTTACCCCATCACCCCCTCATCCCTTCACCCCCTTACCCCATCACCCCCATATCCCATCACCCTCCCCCCTCCCCCCCCCATGCCCTCCCCCCCATCCCCTCCGCACCCCTTGATCCCGGTGCCCCCCCGCCCAGGCACGTGTCGCAGCGCCGGGGCCGGGCTCGCCGCCAGGGCCGCGGCCCGTGGGACCGGTGCCACCTCCCCGCCCTGCAGCGCAAACAGGGCCGGGGGAGCGCGATGGGAACGGCGGCTCCGGGCGGGCCGGGACCCGCGAGCAACGGCCCCGGCACCGCCGCGGGGTGAGCGGCCCCCAGGGACCGCCCGCCCGGGGTCACCCCTGCCCTGCTCCTCCCGCCGCCCCCTCTCGCTGATGCTCTGGGGCCCCGCTGAGGACCCCCACTCGGACAGCGCCCCACTGAGGACCCCTCAGCTCCTCGCTCCTGCCCCGCACCCCCGGGGCTGTAATTAGCGATCATCGGCTCACAATTAACAGCAACGAGCGCCCCGGGCGCAGGCAGCAGGCGCAGAGTCCAACCCCCCCCCCCCCCGCTAAGGGCACCCCAGGCTCTGCCGCCCCATCCCCTGCGCCCTCCCGCAGCCCCGTGGGGCTCAGCCCCATCCTGCGTCCCCCAGAGCCTGGGCCATGGGGGCCCCTCCGGGCCCTGCGCCAGCGCTTACCTGACGGGGGGGGCCCCACCGGGAGCGGGACGGAGCCGAGGGCGCTGCGGAGCGAAACGCAGGGAGCGGAGAAGGGGAAGGAGGAGAAGGGGAAGGGGGGGGGGCTCTCAGCGCATCACGGGCGCGCCCCCCCGCGGCACCCCCGGCGCTGTCCCCGCAGGGGGTCCCGGCCGCGGCGCTCCCCGCTCCGGAGCGGGCCGGGCCCATTCAGAGTTTCCAGGGACATTTCCAGGGCCGGGATCCAGGGCGCGGGGCCAAGAGGCTGAACCCGTCCCACGCCCCGCGCGCGTTCCCGGGCGCGCTCACGGGGCTGGCGGGGGGGACGCGGAGCCACCGGCACCAAACCCCCTCCCGCTCTCCCATGGGGGCTGCATCCCCTCTGCCCCGGAGGATGCGGGCACCGGGACCCCCGTGACCCCCCTCCCGGCACCCACCCGCTTCCTCCTGCGCCCCACAAGTGCTGGCAGCGCCCAGCAGGCCCTCCCCTGCCGCTGTCCCCATCGATGGCGGCCGCCCCTCGGTCCCCTCCGGGCCATGGGGACGGGCAGGACGCAGACCCCCAACGGCCACGGGATGGGGCAGCGGGGCCGGACAGGGACAACCCCGGGGGGGGGGGGGGGGGGTTAAGGGGGCACTCGGGGGGCGAAGCACGAGGGGAGGGGCTCAACCCCGCAGCGCTGCCCCGAGGGGTGCCGGAGCCCCCCGGACCGCTCCAACGGGTCCCCTCCGCCCCACAGCACCGGGGCCACCGCGGGGGGGGCCCGACCCCGCCTCACCTCGCCCGGTCCCGCGGCTGCGGCTCCCTCCCTCCGCCCGCCCCCAGGTCAATGTTTAACGCCGGGGCCAACAAAGGGCGTTTGTGAGCGTTTGCGAGCGTTTCCTGTCGGCGGTGGCAGCGCGGAGCCGGGCCCGGTGGAGCCCCCGCGCTCGGAGGGAACCCGGAGGGGAAGGGAACGGGGGGCTGGAGCATCCCTGCCCCCGGTGCCGAGCTCGGGGACGCGCAGCGCGCACGGAGGAGAGCCAGATGTGGCGGCACAGCTGGGAGCCGGCTCCAGCGGCGGCGGGGCCATGGGCAGGAGCCGGAGCCGCAAGCCGGGAACAGGCCCCAGGTGGGACCTGCGGGGACCGGACACGGGGGGAGATGGAGCTGAGCTCTCAGGCAGAAGCTCAGGGGGGTGCTGGGGCACTGGGACGGGTTGAACAGAGGAGCTGGGGCTGCCCCATCCCTGGCAGTGCTCAAGGCCAGGTCGGACACAGGGCTTGGAGCACCCAGCGCATCCCCGGCGCTCTCCAAGTGCAGCACCGGGAGCGGCTCCGCAAGCGCGGACACGCAGCGGGGCAGGAGCGGCCTCAGCCCCCGTGCCCTCCCCTTCCATCCCATAATAACCACACGGAGCCAAGGCAAGGTTGAACTTTTTTTTTCTCCTTTTCGCCCCGTTTTCCCCTCGGGGACGCCGCGGCCCCTCCCCCCGCGGGCACAGAGCGGGGAATGGGGCGAAACCGCGGCCCATGAGGACAATTCCGCATTTTTGGGTTTTTTTTTTTCCTCTTTTAAACAGAACTAAAAAAAAACCAACCCAAAATCCAAGGAATTTTATAAAACAACCGCAGGAAAAGGAGGCAGCGCCGGGCCCCGACCCCAGCATCGCCATCCGCGTCCAATGGGGGTCCGGGCATCCCCTGCCCCCGAGGGGCTCCAAACGCACCCCAAAACAGGAGACCCCCCCCCCAGTCCGTCCCCCCCCCCCGCCCCATCGCTGCCTCCCTCCCTTACATGCACCTCGCTAGAACATGCAGAAACAACGCCCCAAACCCACCCCAGGCTGCGGGGCCGGGGGTGAGCCGTGCTGCCCCCCATGGGCCCTGCTCCTGGTCCCTGCTGCCGAGCTCCGGGGGGCACTGGGGAGGGATAAAGGGAGGGGAGCCCCGAGGTGAGGGGTTGGGGCGTGCACAGCCCCGAGGGCTGGCACTGGGGGGGGGCAGGAGGGGGAAAGGGGGGGTTTGGGGATTGCTGGGGGGGGGGGGGATGAGGGAAGCAGGGTCTCCATCGCCAGAACCGGCGAGGAGGGGATGGGGGTTCTCAGGTCCTGCTGCCAGCATGGCGGGGGGGGGGGGTTAAAGGGATGCGTTAATCAGTCCTGGGGTGAATTACTGCCTGTGAGCCCCCACTGCTGCTCCGCACCCCCTCAGGAGCTCCAACCAAGGGAAGGCGGGGTCAGGACTGGGAGCCTGTATGGCATCCATGCATCCCGGCTGCTCCATGGCTCCCAGGCCGTTATCCAGCCAGAGCCGCCTGCCCTGACAGCACCTGGAATGGGGCGAAGCCCCAGCCCCATCTCCCTCTCTGGAAGGGGAAAGCGGAGGAGCAGTGGAGGCCTTGGGAGAGCCCAGTGCCTGCTCAGGCACGGCTCCCACCCGCCTGGCACCAGGGCCCAGGTCCAAGGGGTCCGAAAGCTTCCTGCGAAGCCGCTGCTCTCTGGGGCTGGAGCACAAAGGGAAGCAGCGAGGTCCAGGAAGGGGCTGGCAGGGATCCTGAGCCAGGGGCAAGCACAGGGGACAGGGGAGGCGGAGGAGCTGGAAGGGGTTTGCTCTGCAAGCGGCTGCCTGGGCCCTGGCACAGGACGAGGCTCGAGTGTCCCCCGGGAAGGGAAGCGACCGGACAGGAATCCACAGAATCCCTTTTGAACGCTCACCTCAGCTCAGTTTAATGTGAAAGAACGAGGCTTTGCTCAACAGATCCAAGCTTCAAACCCTGAACACTGCACAGAAACCTCCCTTCTCCTGCTCTGCTCCAACGCCCTTCCAGATCCGCTCCGTTCCCTACCTGCAGCCTGCCCTATCCCACCCTCCCTGGATGCACTTCCAACGCCGGGGGCTCTGCAGCAGAGCCCCCTCGAGGCCACATCCCTGCCGGAACC